AAAAATGGATAAAAAGGAATTTCGCGTGTTGATAAAATATTGCTTTTTGAAGGGAAAAAATACAGTTGAAGCAAAAACTTGGCTTGATAACGAATTTCCGGACACTGCCCCAGGAAAATCAACCATCAAGGATTGGTATGCTAAGTTTAGACGTGGTGAAATGAGCACCGAAGACGGTGAACGCAGTGGACGCCCAAAAGAGGCTGTTACGGACGAAAACATTAAAAAAATCCACAAAATGATTTTGAATGACCGTAAATTGAAATTGAATGAAATAGCAGACACTCTACAGATATCAACGGAACGTATACATCACATCATTCACGAATATTTGGGTATGAGAAAGCTCTGTGCAAAGTGGGTGCCGCGCGAGCTCACTTTTGACCAAAAACAACGACGAGTTGATGATTCAGAGCAGTGTTTGAAGATGATCACGCGTAATAAACCCGAGTTTTTGCGTCGATATGTGACAATGGATGAAACATGGCTCCATCATTTCACTCCGAAGTCCAATCGACAGTCATCGGAGTGGACTGCACACGATGAACCCGCTCCAAAGCGTGCAAAAACGCAACAGTCGGCTGGCAAGGTTATGGCGTCTGTATTTTGGGATGCGCGTGGAATAATTTTCATTGACTACCTTGAAAAAGGAAGGACCATCAACAGCGACTATTACATAGCGTTATTGGACCGTTTGAAGGACGAAATCGCCGAGAAACGACCGCATTTGCAGAAAAAGAAAGTCCTGCTTCACCAAGACAATGCACCGTCTCACAAGTCAGTGAAAACGATGGCAAAAATTCATGAATTGGGCTTCGAATTGCTTCCGCATCCACCGTATTCTCCAGATCTGGCCCCCAGCGACTACTTCCTGTTCTCAGATCTCAAAAGAATGCTCGTTGGGAAAAAATTTTCGTCGAATGAAGAGGTGATCGCCGAAACTGAGGCCTATTTTGAAGCAAAGGACAAATCGTACTACAAAAATGGTATCGAAAAGTTGGAGGATCGCTATAATCCCTTGAAGAGAATTATGTTGAATAAAAAAAACGAATTTTGCAAAAAAAATGTATTTTACTATTTTAGGCCGGGGACTTTTCAATTGACCTGTTATTTCTTCAATCACGTCTGTCTGAAAATATCTCCTGCTTCTCTGAAAATTGTCGTAAACTAATTCAACTGTCAAAATCTTTTGAACAAATTATAACATCCCTTAAAATTTATAAATGACATCTATTGATCTTAGATTAATTTATAATTCATATGAAAAGATGGCTGAAGGTATTTGCACAAATTTTCCTGTAGGACTTATGCTTATGCTATTTAGCGGTGACGACAATATTAACGAAATTAACGCAAAACTTTCGACAGTTGAAGTTCATCAATGTTTCTGGGATGAATCGGATGATGACTATAAAAGCTCAATGAAGATAAAGGAAGCAATTATGTAGATGAAACAGAAAATAGAGAAAATGGTTTTTCTTTTCGTCATTGTCCAGTACTTACTGGAGAGTTGCAGGTTATGTTATCGGAAATGTACGAATTCTGAGGCTATTTAGGAAATGTTGATATATTGTTTCAAAGATCTTTCAATGCACACATAACCTGGTAAATGTACACATTTCCTAGGAATTGTATGAGATTCCGATATTGTACTAGGAAATCAATCAACATCTTGAATAGATTTCCTAGGTAACGTGTCTAATATAATTTATTTCACACATTTCCAGGCGATTTTAGGAATTATATACATTTCCTAGGAATTGAATACAATGATGGATTACACACATTTCCATTAACAGATAGACTTTATTCGTATAGATTTAAAATCTACTTCTATTATGCTGTAAATCAATACTATTGTAATTATAATCCATGGTTGATGGATATTTTGAGTTTTATTAAACTATTACACAGTTGAGTTTCATGGAATGGAAACCTAATACAATCCGGATGCTCTTATGTTTTTTATCCGATTTGAAACCTGACAGGTGATACATTGGTACTTCTTCTTTGAGGAACACATCACTGTTCCAAAAGCTCCATTTCCTATTGACATCAAAATATCCTTTTAAGTTGTCTAAATCAACATAGATTTTTGGGTGGTCAACATCCCTGATGTCGTGTAACACCTCAATAGTCTGTAAAGTGATTAGTTTGAGTCATCCATGCATTGAAACGATTTCAAGTCGAAGATTTAGTAGAACCACTAAATATAGATTTTAGATGAATATATAATCGAATACCTACGTTTTGCCTTAAGGCGAAAGGGCTTTTTCTCGGCTAAAAACATCACATTAGATATGCAAAAAGAATGACAAGAAGACATGAGACTTACTAAGATTATACAGTCAGAAATATTAATTTTCTCTAAATGTTGTCGAACATAACTTATACAATTATAGGGTCGTCCCTAATAGCAAATGAAGGAATAAATTCATCATAAAGGGTAGGCAACACTACAGGCAATAAGCAGTTAACCCTAACCTAAACAACCAATCTAAAATTGGACTTAAACAAAGCAGATAATAACTTGATGGCGCCAGAAGTTCTTTTCGTTATCGTGGTCAGTAAACAGATATGCAATAATCAGTTGTAATTAATTAACGATTACGTTAGCACGCGTACGCTTGCGCTTTTTGCTCTTTTTTTGGCCGATATATACGGGTTCTCGGCAGCAAAAGCGCAAATTGCAAATCAGTGTTGCTCACATAATCTGTAAAAAAACAATGTCAGTGATAAAAGGAAAAGTTGCACTTATCACAGGTGGAGCTTCTGGTATCGGTTTAGAGTACGCAAGAGCACTCTTGAAGAAAGGACTGAAGGTAGGAATATTAACTTTATTATTAATTAAATAGGTATGGGAGGTACGAATGTGGGGGACAAATTGAAATCCTTCGTTGATGAGTAAATGAATTATACTAGATTAAGTATAAGTTTACACCAGTTTAGATATATAGTTTTTCAAAAAATATAGACGACTTTTTTACTCTGGTCATGTAGTGTAAATGTATATTATTGTTAGAAGTTGCAGGTACTTAAAACTATGAATAAGGGATAAGAAGATTCATGTGATATTTAACGTACAAACTCAGGTAGAATAAATGACAACTTGAAGCATATTCTAATGCTGTTATCCATTATCTAATTACTTAATTGACTTTGTTTTTGGTTACATGGTTTGTGTTATGTGAATCGCGATTTCTAACGCTTTAACTCTCATTAGCACGGTATAGATAGATCGACAGAATAACGACAACTTGCTGCCAATAAACAACGTTCAATGAATAAATACAGGCGGCTTAGTGAACGCCATCTGTGGACTAGACTCACTTCGGTTTTTATGTTGTTTTCCAGCCCTCTATTGTATTTCTTTCTACATCGCTTCTGGATTCTATCTCTCACCACTCTCTTCCTACGATTGATATTGTTTTTCTCTGTGTTTTACCCTTCTATTTCTTGCGAGTCTTCTAAACTTTCTATTGCCTTTATACATTTTTTCCAGTTTTTATTTCTTTTCCGAGCAAGTATCCTGATATATTGGAGGTCCGCATTTAGCCATTGCATTGAATTGGTTTATAGATCACGGTCGATCTTTTTCCTACATTACTTCCAATCGCGCTTACTTCATATTAGCAAACGTGCAATTATTAGTTATGTAATCCGGCTCGAAGGACCATGATTCAAAAATTACATTGCCAGTCCTAAATTCTTTTCGTGTTTTCAAGTTCTGCGCTTCAATTCAAAACGATAACACTTTAATCAGAAGATAGAGAGTAAAAGTAGGCGATAACATATAAATTAAACAAATAATAGAATTATTAAAAAACATCCATTCAAGTTGAAGGTTGACAACAATTAATTATAACCATATGATACAGTTTATGTTCTTAGATAATAGACACAAATATAAAGAAAGTGTATCACTGTATTTTACTGATGTTGCAAAAGCAAATTATTGAAAGAAACAATTATAACAGAAATCAGTGGCGACATTTGCTTATTGATTTTATCTATAGGTATGATGTATTTTGCGAATTTCCAGAAAGAAAATGATATAGTAGCGAGTCTCTATATTTTAACCACGTATTATCCAGATATAGGAACAAAGAACATTTACTCTGGGGACATTCCTGTACATTTCTTTTTTTCAAACAGTGGGAAAGTTTCTTTTTTTTTATATTTAGTGTTAAAATCTAGTAAAGCAAACTGAAAATTTTAAATACAAAAAATGTTTTGTTCAAAGGAAAGAATATATTAAAGTTGCTTCAATGGTTTAATTCATAAATCCACCGAAAGTAGTAATTTTTCGTTTTTCACTTTTCAAAAAGCTCTATTTTTTATTGACAACAAAATATACTTCTGTTGTCTCTAAATCGACATAGATTTTTGGGGTGTCAACATCCCTGATGTCGTACAGCACCTTAATAATCTGAAAGGTATTATAAGGTTATTAAATTTTAGGTCATTCATGCATTGAAACGATTTCAAGTCCAAGATTTAGTATAACAACAAGATCTCTACAGAATAAATATAGATTTTAGATAACTATATAATCGAATACCTACGTTTTGCCTCAAGGTGAAAGGGCTTTTTCAGGGCTAAAAAACGTAAAAACATCACATTAAATATGTAAATAGAATGGCAAGAAAACATTAGACTTACTAAGATTATACAGCCAAAAAGGTCAATTTTTTGTGAATGTTCCGGAACATTCCATAACTTATACAATAATAGGGTCGTCCCTAAAACCAAAGGCATAAATGGCAGGAAAAACTATAGCTAATAAGCAGTTAACCCTCACCTAAACAAGCAACCTAAAATGGGACTTAAACAAAGTAGATAATAATTTGGTGACGCCAGATGTTGTTTTTGTTATCGTGGTCAGTAAACAGATATGCAAAAATCAGTTGTAATTAATTAAAAATTACGTTATCACGGGTACGCTTGCGCTTTTTGCTCTTTTTTTGGCTCATATATACGGATACTCGACCGCAAATCCGCATATTGCAGATCGGTGTTGTAAAGGACTCCCCGGTTAACAAGACGCGCTCACATATGCTGTAAAAAAACAATGTTAGTGGTAAGGGGAAAAGTTGCACTTATCACAGGTGGAGCTTCTGGTATCGGTTTAGAGTACGCAAGAGCACTCTTGAAGAAAGGACTGAAGGTAGGAATATTAACTTTATTATTAATTAAATAGGTATGGGAGGTACGAATGTGGGGGACAAATTGAAATCCTTCGTTGATGAGTAAATGAATTATACTAGATTAAGTATAAGTTTACACCAGTTTAGATATATAGTTTTTCAAAAAATATAGACGACTTTTTTACTCTGGTCATGTAGTGTAAATGTATATTATTGTTAGAAGTTGCAGGTACTTAAAACTATGAATAAGGGATAAGAAGATTCATGTGATATTTAACGTACAAACTCAGGTAGAATAAATGACAACTTGAAGCATATTCTAATGCTGTTATCCATTATCTAATTACTTAATTGACTTTGTTTTTGGTTACATGGTTTGTGTTATGTGAATCGCGATTTCTAACGCTTTAACTCTCATTAGCACGGTATAGATAGATCGACAGAATAACGACAACTTGCTGCCAATAAACAACGTTCAATGAATAAATACAGGCGGCTTAGTGAACGCCATCTGTGGACTAGACTCACTTCGGTTTTTATGTTGTTTTCCAGCCCTCTATTGTATTTCTTTCTACATCGCTTCTGGATTCTATCTCTCACCACTCTCTTCCTACGATTGATATTGTTTTTCTCTGTGTTTTACCCTTCTATTTCTTGCGAGTCTTCTAAACTTTCTATTGCCTTTATACATTTTTTCCAGTTTTTATTTCTTTTCCGAGCAAGTATCCTGATATATTGGAGGTCCGCATTTAGCCATTGCATTGAATTGGTTTATAGATCACGGTCGATCTTTTTCCTACATTACTTCCAATCGCGCTTACTTCATATTAGCAAACGTGCAATTATTAGTTATGTAATCCGGCTCGAAGGACCATGATTCAAAAATTACATTGCCAGTCCTAAATTCTTTTCGTGTTTTCAAGTTCTGCGCTTCAATTCAAAACGATAACACTTTAATCAGAAGATAGAGAGTAAAAGTAGGCGATAACATATAAATTAAACAAATAATAGAATTATTAAAAAACATCCATACAAGTTCAAGGTCGGCACGCGATACAGTTTAAGCTCTTAGATAATAGACACAAATATAAACAAAATATATCACTGTATTTTACTGATGTTGCAAAAACGAATTACTGTATTATGCTTTAACGAAAAAGTTATAACAGAAATCACAATAATGCTATTTTTTATATATTGTCGACTATTGAAAAAATTCAAGTTTAAGTCCCACAATATTCAGTAATCTGTCCAATTGTTTGCTACCCCTAAACGGAGGGTGCCATACCATTTAAGTGATCCAAATACTATTTTTTTATTAACAACAGATTCCACATGTTAGTGTATTATTCTGTTTCATTTTCTTGGAATAAATTAATGTCTAGCTGTCTATAGACTATTTAAATCGTTTAAATTTGTTTAAAGGGTGTCGTTCTGGTCGATGTAAACTCCAGCTTTGGCGAGGCTGCAGTGACTACATTAAGGAAGGAATTTGCTCCAGGAAAAGTCCTCTTTCACCAAGCAGATGTCACAGATAAACAATCATTCGAAGGTAAAATAAACCTTTTGCTTTGTATTTCTTAATGCATATTCTTTCTAATTCGAATTTAGTAGGTTATACTTATTACTATTAAGTAATTAGTATCAAAATGTGCATATGTAAAATGAAAAATATCTACCTAGGTATAGTACTTACTTATATATTGACAACAACAACAAACAATTGTATATGACATGAATCGGAAACAGCCTTTACCTTTGATTTTAAAAGTTAATTGTGTTGCGTATTTAACATATTTTCTAATTTAAAAAATCAAAATTGATTTCAGGTGCATTTCAGTTCGCTGTGCAGCACTACAAACATTTGGATATTGTCATTAATAACGCCGGAATTTTGAACGACAAAATTTGGGAAAAACAAGTGGCAATCAACGTTGTAAGTAGTACTAAAAATATTGTACATATTGTTACGGTTATAATATATCCAGTAATGTGTTTATTTAATATCCGTGATTTGGTACAACATTAGTCTGCCTACATGTTTCATGTGTAGTCATTCTACTAGCTACATTACCCTTACTATAAATCATTCGCAAAATATGTAATTTGGTTTAAAATTAAAAAGAAGTAGGATTCAAACAATCCATAAATTTTTTTTGACAAAGTGTATAAAAAAAGAGCAAATATAAAGATAGGAGACGAAAGATTAGAAGAAGTTGCTCATTTTAAGTATCTAGGAAATCAGATAAGTCAGTACAGAAGGAGTGGTAGGGATATAAAGGAGAGGATAGCGCAGGGTCGAGTCGCCTTCATTAAAAATAAGTCACTTTTATGCTCGCGAACGATTAATTTAGAAATTTCAAAAAGATTGTTGAAGGTGTATGTTTGGAGCGCGGCGCTGTATGGGTGCGAAGCATGGATAATGGGCGCGGCGGAAAAGAAATGTTAGAAGCGTTCGAAAAGTGGTGTTACAGGCGAATGATGAGGATACCGTGGATAGAGAAGGTTAGAAATGAAGAGGTATTAGAAAGAATAGGAGAACAGAGGACTCTATGGAAGTCAATAAAAAATAGGCGAGATAGGTTGGTAGGACACCTTCTCAGGCATGAAGGTCTAGTCGGAGACATATTAGAGGCAGAAGTAGGAGTTAAGAAGAGTAGAGGTAGACCTAGATTAGATTACTGTTTTAAGGAAATGCGAAGATTAGTTGAGGATAGGAAAGAGCGGAGGTGCGTGTCCAAACCAGTCTTAGGACTGACGTGTATAATAGTTTAGAATTTATATTATAAGTACGCTTATTTGTGCTTTTTGTGGTTGGCCACGCTCCTAGCGACGGTAACAATAGAAAAAAACAAGACAAGGTGTTTTAATAAATCAACAAACAAAACGAAAGTGTGTCTTGCTTTTCTTATGGGAAGTTTATGGCATATATCTATTGTTGAAAACTTTTCAGAATGGTGTTGTTATTGGAAGCCTGTTGGCAATGGATTACCTCCCGAAGTACACAAATGGTGATGAATCTTTCTTAATTAATATTGCTTCCATCGTGGCGATCGATCCTTTCATTTGCGTTCCCATTTATTCTGGAACCAAGTCTTTCGTGATCGGTTTCAGTCGAGCTCTTGGTGCAGAACCGCATTATCAACGGAGCAAGGTTAAGGTATTGACTATATGTCCTGGCGTTACCGACACACCTCTTATCAATGAAATGAGTGGAAAGAATTTGGGACCAGATTACGAGGCTGTGTTGATTGAAGAAATTCCACAATTCAAGAAACAACCGTAAGTTTTATCTTAATTATTATTTTGCACCTTTGTTTTACGATACGCCACTGATAGGTCAATGAACTCAAGATAATAAGGTCGGTTGTCCACGAAGCCGGTAAACTGTAGTGAGACGTAGAACAAACAGAATAGCTCAAAACCCCAACGCCAAAACACGACACTGTAGTTGTCTGAAGCACTTTTCGGTAACAAAGTTACCTTCTTCAGGGACTGAAGTAAACTTCAAGTTTAAGAAGGTAACTTGAAGTTTACTTCAGTCCCTGAAGAAGGTAACTTTGTTACCGAAAAGTGCTTCGGACAACTACAGTGTCGTGTTTTGGCGTTGGAGTTTTGAGCTATTCTGTTTGTTCTACAACAACCGCCAAAGTTTTTCCAATCTTCATATTTTGTAGTGAGACGGAAGCTGACTGATCCACATCGGATCGGATACAACGTGTCTACTAAAACAACGTTGATCGACCAAACAAATTGAGTTTTTCATTTAGTATTTAGTAGGTCGTGTACAATTAATATATTTAGTCGAAATGTCGATTTCAAGTGAAGATGGCGCTCGAGTCGTGTTGACTGCATCGGGTGTTTATATGTATAAATATGCAGATGAATTCTTCACTTACGACGACAGATTCAAGTCCATTTGTCGAATGTCAAAAAAAAGTTTCTATATGCCAACAGCATACGTACATCCCACGATGCATTCGTTAATGAATAAAGGAACAAAAAGATAGACGGCCGCAGGCGTGTATCCGATCCGATTCTCAATGGTGCTTGCACCGTCAGTCTGATCGGCTTCGTGGATAACCGCCCTAAGCTGTTAAATACGAAACAATGACGTGCACTGCAGTAAAAAAAATTTACAGGCCTGACGCTGGAAGCTGGCGGAAATTTTTAAATGGCGTGGATGCGCGGTGGCAAAAGTAGGCAGTTTTAGGTGTAAAGATTACAGCCCTCATTCTTCAGTATTCCTATCAGGGGCTTAGATTAAATATTTAAAAGTAGGGATCATTGAGCAAGTAATAGACAAACAAACAGAAGAACTAATTGTTGATGTTGGTGACAGTGATAGAGATTCCCATGATGACAGTGAATGTGAAAGCTAACTATAAAACAAAAGCAATAGGTTAATTTTTTCTTTTTGATAAGTCGTGTTTTTACATTATTTTCTAGTACGCTACTGTCTTATCTGTATTAATACTATAATTTACGCCTACTGAAAGCTTATTTGTGTGTGGGTTCCAAGTGTCTTACCCAAATAGGTCACAAATGGGCAAGTACCTGCGCGACCGCTCGCCAGCTTCCTTCGTCAGACCTGTACCTAAATGTCTGTTGTCGTACATACAAGACCGTGTAGACCAACGGGAGTACTTTTGTGTGCAAAACTACCAACGAAGTGTCTCTTTTCTTACAATTACCTACCCTTTAAATGACATTTGATGATGACTAACGGTTTTGCTGTTTTTTATTTTATGTTAAACTGAATTACTGTAAAACAGGTTGTAAAGCATTAATCGATGAAGGAGTGTCATAAAGTAAAGAACTTAAATTGCTATCAGAAAATTCAGAAACTGGATAAAAGTAGATTGATTTAGGCATTTATCCAATAATATTTCGAAAAATACGTAATCCTAAAATGTAGCATCGTGCTACAGATGGCGCTCACTGTGCCGTTTGTAGTATTTTCTGAAACGCACTGTTAAGACAGCAGGTAAAAGTTGGCCTGTGTTCGGTCGGAGATGTCTGCGACGCGCTGATGAGATCCAAAAAGATCGAAATCGCGATTCGCGTCTGGCAGTTTCGACAGAATACAGACCACTTCGAATTATTTTATATTTTTAATAACTATTGAAAATGAACTAGCAAATGAGTTACAGTTGGAATTGTCAGATTGGATATTTCTACGATAATATATTTGGAAAATGCAACCTTAAAACATTAACAACCTTGAAAACAAATGCCTGTTGTTTATTTTTCAGACCGGAATATGTTGCCAAAGGTCTGGTTGATGTTCTGGTCAAGGGTACAAGTGGCTCAGTTTGGGTAGTTGAGGGAAAGGAACCTGCTGTCGAAATAGACTTTCCACACCGTGACCAGAGACACAAGAATTGATCCAAATCATAACCACGTTATTCCTCGTTTAATTCATCATGGTTCTTTCATGTTTTTGGGATAACAAGAGTTTTTATTGAATTACGAAATAAGTACATGCCACAACAAATGCAATAAAGTGATTACTTTTAATTCATGAGTGTTTATTTACAACCTTTTGATAATTTTTAACCTGCCCTCTAAAACGTCTACTCGTATACACAATGAAAAGTGAGTGATGAGATTTCATACATTGAAATTTGTGCTGAGCGTAGGCTTTAACTTCACATGACCTAGGACCTATGATGTTTTCCTTATGTGGCCTTTTTATTTACTGATATAAAAATATCATATAACAGGTCAATTGAAAAGTCCCCGGCCTAAAATAGTAAAACACATTGTTTTTGCAAAATTCGTTTTTTTTATTCAACATAATTCCCTTCAAGGGTGATACACTGATTATAGCGATCCTCCAACTTTTCGATACCATTTTTGTAGTACGATTTGTCCTTTGCTTCAAAATAGGCCTCAGTTTCGGCGATCACCTCTTCATTCGACGAAAATTTTTTCCCAACGAGCATTCTTTTGAGATCTGAGAACAGGAAGTAGTCGCTGGGGGCCAGATCTGGAGAATACGGTGGATGCGGAAGCAATTCGAAGCCCAATTCATGAATTTTTGCCATCGTTTTCACTGACTTGTGAGACGGTGCATTGTCTTGGTGAAGCAGGACTTTCTTTTTCTGCAAATGCGGTCGTTTCTCGGCGATTTCGTCCTTCAAACGGTCCAATAACGCTATGTAATAGTCGCTGTTGATGGTCCTTCCTTTTTCAAGGTAGTCAATGAAAATTATTCCACGCGCATCCCAAAATACAGACGCCATAACCTTGCCAGCCGACTGTTGCGTTTTTGCACGCTTTGGAGCGGGTTCATCGTGTGCAGTCCACTCCGATGACTGTCGATTGGACTTCGGAGTGAAATGATGGAGCCATGTTTCATCCATTGTCACATATCGACGCAAAAACTCGGGTTTATTACGCGTGATCATCTTCAAACACTGCTCTGAATCATCAACTCGTCGTTGTTTTTGGTCAAAAGTGAGCTCGCGCGGCACCCACTTTGCACAGAGCTTTCTCATACCCAAATATTCGTGAATGATGTGATGTATACGTTCCGTTGATATCTGTAGAGTGTCTGCTATTTCATTCAATTTCAATTTACGGTCATTCAAAATCATTTTGTGGATTTTTTTAATGTTTTCGTCCGTAACAGCCTCTTTTGGGCGTCCACTGCGTTCACCGTCTTCGGTGCTCATTTCACCACGTCTAAACTTAGCATACCAATCCTTGATGGTTGATTTTCCTGGGGCAGTGTCCGGAAATTCGTTATCAAGCCAAGTTTTTGCTTCAACTGTATTTTTTCCCTTCAAAAAGCAATATTTTATCAACACGCGAAATTCCTTTTTATCCATTTTTTTCACAATAACAAAAGTTGCTTCACTAAAAATGCTATAATTCACAAACTAATGATCCGACAGCCGTCAAATTTATAGACGCGTCTTTTGAAGGTTAGGACTAACTGAAAATCATATGGATTTAGTTCTGGTGCCGCCATCTATGTGTCAGGCCGGGGACTTTTCAATTGACCCTAGTACAATTGAGTTATCGAAACACTAGTTAACAGAGTCAAAATCATTGTGGACAAGGAAAAGGCGAAATCCAAAAGGTAATCATCATCATAAAGTCGTCAGTCCTAAGACTGATTGGACACGCATCTCAACTCTTTATTATCCTGCGCTAATCCTCGCATTTCCCTAAAAGTAGAACAACCCACATGCTTAACTATTTGCGAACAGTAAGCTAATCTAGATCAACCTCTACTCCTTTTAACTCCCGTTTCTGCTTTTAATATGTCTCTGACTAGATCTTCATTCTTGAGGTGTCCTACCAACCTATCTCGCCTATTTCTTATTCCATAGAGTCCTCTGTTCTCCTATTCTTTCTAATACCTATTCATTCCTAGCATTATTGGAAGATACTCGACTAAGCGTTATCCTCTGCTTTATAACCCTACTGTTCCTTTGGCCCTGACTTATCTGACTTCCTAGATACCTAAAAGCGGCCAGTTCTTCTAATTTTTCATCTCCTATCTTTATATTCGCTCTTTCCCTACTTTTTCTTCCATTGCATACCATTATCTTTGTTTTACTTTTATTTATTTTCATACAATACTGTTTTGTCAGTATCGCACCCGTTTTATTTTAAGCTATCTCTAACTCCTCCTTGCTAAATGCTAATTCTACTGTACCATCTGCAAATCTAAGCATACTAATCTTTTGCCCCTGTATATCTATCCCTATAATTGTACTAGTTTCAGTAAAGGAAGGTAATATCAAGTCCAAGAGTGTCCCATGGTATTGGTTCAAATAATAATTAAATATTGCAATTTTCCCTTATGAAGTATATGATATAAGCGTGGAGCATAGCCTTCATATTAGCAAAAGACAGAAAACTTCCCAATCCATGAGGGAGATCCATTGAACCCCCTGAACTACGCCACTGTTACTGGAATGCAAATTGGAAAAGAACAAGATTTTCTTGGTTAATTAGCACTTAGCATTTTTCAAATTAACTATTTTTTCACCGTTAAAAATGCTAGTGCAAATCAACTTCATAATCACAATTTCCTTTAAGAACTTCTTTTTGGCAATGTATTGATAATTCATGTATCTTAGAAGTACCTACAGTTTTTATAACTAAAAATAAATTCACCCATAATTCCTCGATTTCTTGTTCTAAATTTTTACAGGAGCTCATGCTACTTCATTTATTGATGGTGCAATTTGGTGAAACGTTAATATCTTAAATATTAAGAATGTTGCTTCTCCTTATCCCAAACGGTAGTAGAACCGTCTTGATAAATTTTCAATATTTTTACGTTTATTTATAATAGATTTGAATTGTAAGACGGTCTGATTTTTTTTGTACATAGGCACCTATTAGTTAAATCTTTAGTTAATGTTACTGTTCTTTGCGTTTACTGCTCCACCCTGTATGTATGAAACGCTCTTTAATTAATATTTCAAATAAAACCTGATGCTATTCATTGTTTTAACGTGTATCAGAAGTAGGCGTAAGTAGTAGTTGAAAAGCTCTCCGTAATAAAACCAACGGCGGCACCAGCGATTGTATTACGCAAGTAACCGTTCACGTACGGTCTCGTCACTCGTCAGTCGTAAGATGCGTGTGTGGCAAGGAATGTCTTGCTCCGATGTGCGCTAATAGTTACGAGAACATTCGAAATTACGCAATAAATTAATGGTGTCTACAAATTTAATGCTTCCCATGGATCAATCAAAGCCAAAGCAAAAGTACCATTAGGTACATTTTGCATTCATGCATTTCCTTCGGTGAGTTTTATTACTTTACCCTAATATCTAAAATATATTGTGTTATTCTTTATATTAGTTTAGATAGGTGCGTACTTGTAGTCATGTGCTTCAGCTGAAAGGGCTATTATTTCAGTCTACTATCATAAAATTATGTAGATAATAATGTTCTACTGTTGGTTTGTTTGCGAAAAAATGCTGCAAAATTGAACTTCCTTTCTGACTAGCAGGGAATTGAGAACTGAGCATTGCGATATTCTATTACATGCAATCATTTTTTTGAAAATGCGATGTGCTATAGGGAAATTCGTTCAATTCTTTGACCATTCATTTCACTTTAAAATAAAAAGTACTGCACCTAAGTACAATAAATACAATTTAAAGCCTTTGTGGAATGTAACTCTTTGTTCAAAGGATCTTGAGAGTTCCGCTAGTTTTGGACAGGTTCCAGATGGGCCGGTGATATCTCCAGATGAACTTGGTTAAAAAAATGCGTTCCATAAGCAATTACACATTTCTTTGTCACAATTTATTCTTTTTATGTCTGATCAACCAAAATGGTGAACCTGCTCCTCTACAAACTGACCTAAAGTAACCAAACTCTCAGTCATTTGGAAAAAGCGTAACACCTCTTAAAGGTCTTAATTTGCATTTGTATTTTTTTTTTGTGTATTTTCGTATATAATCTTTATTAAACCAAACTGGTTATTTTATAATTATAGAACTTCACAATCTACCAACAATTAAATGACCCATGCTACTGTTTAATTACACTTTACATTCTTGTTTCCATTGATCATCCCTTCATTATACTTACCTATCTTCTTATTCTTAACGAAATGTCCCTTTTCCTTCTTTTTTTTTACAATTTCTTCGTCCCATTACTCGTACTACTTCATCTATTATTAACTTCCTGCACCCAAAAGTCACCTTATCCATATTTTTTCTTCTCCCTTCTTTTACCGTTTGTTCCAACATCCTTTGTATTGTTTTCTCTTCCATAGTCATATCATCTCATATATAAACCTCCACCCCCTCAGCTTTCTACCATTTCTAATTACCTGCAGCTTATTTTCCCACTTCTCCATTCTTACCCCATTTACCCTCTTTTTAACTCTCTATACGTTCTTCACATTCAGTTTCAATCTTCTCTTTTGTAACTCATTCCAACTCCTTATTTTCTTTATTCTCCTCCAAGTTTATTCCAAAGATTATCAGGTTCAGTTGTTTTCTTCTCTTCATTTTTTTTCTAATTCCATTTGTAATCTCCTTATTCTTCTGTTCTGCTTCTTCGTTTGCTTCTCTATCTCCAGCTCCTCTATTAGTAATTCCTTTACTTTTTCTTTTAAGCTGTACTTTCCTATTTTAGACCATGCCTTTCCGCCTTCTTGATTATATTAGTCCAATGTTTCTTCCATGTCCTGTACCTTTCCACTAGTCTCTGTCTCCAGATCTTCCAGTTCGTCCTTTATACTCTATTTTATTCCTGAATTTCATCTAGTTTCTGTTCCAATTTTCAACATCTTCTTTTTTCTTGTAAGTACCTATCTTTTCTTTGTTTTTCATCACTTTTGTCCCATATTTTTGACTTTCGTTTTTTAATTCTTCTAGCCATTTCATTAACACATTAAATTTGTCCATCTCAATAACACATTTCTTTTTATTTTATCTTTTCACTTTCTTCTTTCTTTCGGACTGCACGCTTTTTTTTAATTTTTCTCGTTTTGTCTTTCGTCTCTCATCCAACTTCTTATCGGTCTTTTTCTT